TCAACAGAAAGATAATAAAATCCTCATAGCTGGACTAATAAGAAACATCATGATAAACGGAGAAAATACTAAAGTTATCAATGATTTCAAGGAGCCCTCGTGACAGTGGTTAAGCAGTCAGCTGCTAACTGAAAGGTCAGTGGTTTAAATCCACCAGCTACTCTCCAGGAGAAAGATGTGGCAGTCTGCTTCCATAAAGATTCACGATCTGGGAAACTCTGTGGGGCGGTTCTGCCCCATCCTATAGGGTTGCTAGGAGTTGGAGTAGACTCGACAGCAAGGGCTTGGTTTTGGGGTCAACGATTTCCCTCTACTTGGACCCACAATCAACACCTATAGAAGCAGCAGTCAAGAAATCAAACGGCACATTGGGCAAATGTGCCGTAAAAGACCTCTTTCAAGTGTCACAAAGCAAAGATGTCACTTTGAGGACTAAGATGTGACTGACGTAAGACATGGTATTTTCAATTGCCTCATATGCATGCAAAGACAACGAATAAGGAAGACCACAGAAGAATTGATGCATTAGAAATTATGGCATGAATGAAGAATACTGAAAATACCATGGACTGACATAAGAATGAACAAATCTGCCTTGGAAGAAGTACAGCCAGAATGCTCTTTAGAAGAAAGGATGGTGCAATTTCTTCATCTCATGTACTTTGGACATGTTATCAGGAGGGACTAGTCCCTGGGGAAGGATATCATGCTTGGTAGAGGGTCAGTGAAAAAGAGGAAGACCCTCAATGAGACGGACTGACACAGTGGCTGTAACAATGAACTCTAAAGACTGAGGATGGCACAGTATCAGACAGTGTTTTGTTCTGTTGTCACTATGAATCAGAAGCAACTCGATGGTATCTAACAACCACAACCAACCGCCGAATCTCACAAAGGTTTATTTTTAATTCATGTTTTATATACTTCGCAGATCAGCTGTGGCTCTGCTCCAACTGGGGAACTATAGTTAAGGGTCTTCCCAATCTGGGAGCTCTGGTGGCATAGTGCCTAAGGCATTTGACTGCTAACCAGAAGGCTGGTGATTCAAACCCACCAGCCACTCCCCAGAAAGAAGACTGGGCAATATAGTTCCACAGACATACTGCTTCGGAAACCCAGGGAGGGGTCAACTATGAGTTGGAACCCACCTGACAACAGTGAGCATCTGAGGCAGGTAATTCTTTTTTTTTTTTTTTTTTTATTGTGACTTGGGTGAAAGTTTACAGAGCAAATTCACTTTCCATACAGCAGTTCACATACATTGTCTCATGACACTGACCACAATTCACCACAATGCAACAGCTCCCCTCCTACTTCCTCCCAATAGTCACCTCTTCCCTGTGTCCATCCCTCCATGCACCCCTGCCCCTTGAGCTGTCTCCCTGTGCATAAACAGCCCTTCTTTCTCCCATGATTGTTCTTTCCAAGGAGTGTATCTACCTCCAGTAAATGTTCAATTCCTGTGCCTGTCTTTTGTTTGGCTGGAAGCCACAGGTGTGGGTTCAATTCCAGACCTGAGGCAGGCAATTCCTGAGCTGAGTGAAAAGAGCAATGGCTCAGCCATGAAAGGCACCTAGTACTTTCCTCTTAGAGGTGGCACTGTCATTTCTACTCTCATTCCATTGGCCAAAGCCACTCACATGGCCAAATCTGATCTTACTACAGTGGGGAGACTTTTCCATTGTTGGAAGGGCCACCGGAGATAGTCTCCGAACAAGGCAGACCTTTTTAAACAAGTAATATAATCTACTACATACCTTTTTTCAAAAATTAAAAACTTAATTTCAAATAAACCACTATTTTATTTTTATCAAAACTGAACTCTGCTTAATGTCTGCACTGCCATACAATTACCTATGTCCCTAATGATTTGTTTTGGTGTTTCCTGGGCCAATTGGAACCCACATTATTTAATTTTTTTTAATCATCACATTGCTGATTTATTGGTTGCTCTAGGTATTACATATAAACCCACATTATTTTAAACAAGGCAGAATGAAATGATTTTCTACTACTGCTAAGAAATAGTAAATCGCATCTTTTAGGTACATCATCAGTAAATATGAGGCAAATATCCTTGCATATTAGTAGAGTGCTGGAAAGGTTGGGAAGGGTGTTTCCCGCCCTTTTTATTTTAAACCATATGCATGATTTCAGTAGACAAGATAGAAAATAGGGAGAAGGGATGGAGGTTGGGCCAGGCTTTATGAAGAGGCTTGGAGTCCAGGAAGTTTAACAGTTCCTCAAGGAGATCCCATTTAAAGTGTCAGAAGTGGAATCTGAATTTTAAAGGTCTCTCTATGCTTATTCCTGGGCCCAGTATTGGGTCCCCAAAGGAAAGGGGCAAAGAAACTGAAAGGAAAAATAAGGGGAACAAAGATTTAAAAGAAGGAAAAGAAAAACAAGAGAGGCAGGGGAAGCACAGTGAGGCAGAGGAGACACCAGGAAGAAAGGGAAAAAGGAGAGGGAGAGAAGACAAAAAGAAGAGGTAAAAGACCGGTGCTATTCAAAGTTCACTTCAAATCACCTTCCTAGCGGATCCAGGAGCGAGGCCCCGCACGCCCCCTGGCGGAGAGATGAGGTGCTCAACTCTGGCTTCACGTACTGAAAAACCAAACACAGCTGCTGTGGAGTCCGATCCGACTCATAGCGACGCCTCCTTGGGTTTCCCAGGCGGTATCACTACGGAAGTAGATTGCCCAAGCTTCCTTCCCAGGAGTGGCTGGTGGGTTTGAACCGCCAGCCTTTTAGCAGTCAAATGGCTTAGGCACTACGCTACCACATGGGGGACATCAAACCAAAACTCCCGTTGTTGAGTTCTTTCTACTTCAAAGTAACCCCGCCGGACAAGACAGAACTGCCTCGTAGGTCTTCCTAAGCTATAATCTTCATGGAAGCAGACTGCCACATCTTTCTTCCACTGAGCAGCGGGTAGGTTGTAAGTGCTGACCTTTCAGCTAACAGCAGAGCTCTTAACCACTGCTCCCACCAGTGCTAGGCAGCGCTTAAAAATACCAAGGCCCAGGCTCCACCTCCGACCAACAGAGCCTTTCTGGGGCGGTCCGGATGTGGAGCGTTTTAACGCTCTCCAGTTCTGAAGTGCAACCGGGGTTAAGAGTCATAGCGAGAGAGCAGCAGCGTGGGAAGAGAGGACTTGAGGTTAAGGTCGGGGAAGAAACTGCCCCCCGCCCACCCGCGCGGTTTCATTGGGCGCTGACCCGGGGGCTGTGGCCCGGCTGCCACGCCGTCAGCTGCTTTCGCGTCAACCTAACGGCAGGTGCACTATCCGTCTGCCCCCGGAAGAGGGAGATCAGGACATTGGAGTCCGCAGCCCCAGTCAGTGTCGGGGACCGGTGGCGCGCTTCTGGGCCCGGCCGACCCATTTTAAAATACAGGCCTGGACCCCACGGCCGGAATCCTCGTTGGCGCTTTAGTTGAGAGCTTTTGACTTTTTGCACTCTCTTGCCACTAATCAGGCAATTACGCGTCTTCAGACCCCACTCTGGTGAAGCAAGGACCAATGGGTGACCGACCACGTCTTCTTCGGGGGGAACTTTCTCTTACACTTGCCAATGGACCGTTTTTTAAACTAAAGGCAGTCAAAACGAGAGAGCAAGCGCGAGCACGTGGTTAAAACAGTGAAACGAGTACAAGAGTGTATCCAGTGCACCACATACAGGCGTAACCTCACTCTTCTTCTCAACGTTCCCCTCGGCAGCCCGGGAAACTCCTCTGGTCGCCCAAATACATTTGGGACCCACGTGGGGAAACCCCGACCCGCTTACCCGTACCTCCCCCCTCCGCGACCCTCTGAGGGGATCCGCAAGCTCGGACTTCCCAGCGCTGATACAGTACCTGCCCCGGCGTGGGGCGGGGATACCGGAAACGCGTCTTTCTAGCCGGGGCCGCCCATCCTTTCTGCTTCCAAGAGCCGCCACGCCCGGCGTAGTTCGGGCTCTCCGGCCCTTTAAGGCGGGTCGTTTCCGCTGCCAACCTCCGGGGCGGGGAAAGTGAAGCGCGCGCGACGCCGCAGCAGCTCCGGAGCCGTAAGTATCCGCGAGGCGGCGCCTGAGGCGCTGGTGTCTGGTGGGCCCCACTTCGAGTTGGGCCTGGACAAGCTCGCGGCCATCAGTCCGGGAAGCTCGCGACGTTCCGGGGTGGCTTGGGCATTCCGTGTGGCCGGCAGGTCCCGAAGGGCCTTGTGGACCCCGAACCAGCGGCCGGCTCCGGGAGCCTGGGGCCCGCGGGAAGAAAGGATGCACAGTCGAGCCATTAGAGGGGCAGGGGCGACTTTAGGGGGCTTTGGCGGTGCCTTAGAGCTGCCGACGCCGGAATCCGCCCACGCTGGGGGCCTCGCGCTCCCGGCGAGCGACTCGGATTCCCGAAGTGTCTTTCCCTCCTAGTCTCGAGGAAGGGGAACAGCGTCAACCTTACATATCCGGCTGGTGTCAATGGGCAGGATAATCAAAACGTTAACACCAAGTCCAAGTGCGGGTTGTGTTCCATTGTTGTTACCGACTTTGGGGAAAACAAACCCCCCCCCCCCACTGCCCCCGAAACCAAACTTTCCTGGAGCCCAGCGTTGGCCTGCAGTGGCAGTGGACCGGGTCAGAGCAGTTTGGGAAGCTCTGATTTGCCCGGCTGCTCGGCGGCCCTTGGCAGACACGGTGTTTTGCTCACCGTTATCCAGCATCACGGAGCGGTAACTGAGTGTGTAGGGCATCGTACAGAGGTTGTGACGTTCTGGGTTCTTTTACCTGAAGAAATTTTGAATTAAGAGCTAAGCCTCACTTCCCATAAGACTTGAAGAGCAAAAGGAAATCACACAGGCCTCCGCCTCCATCCCTTCATTCCTCTCTAATGTACAGTCAGTCCTTCGTTCTTTGCGAACTTAGAAAACTTGGTAGCTACTTAAGAGATAATGCGTTTTCTGGTTAAAGCATCGTCAACGACTTCTCGCATGCCAGGTTTGAGGGAGCAGAGAGCTGGGCGTGGGCAAAATGGCCCTGGTCCCCTACGATGAGGCCTCCGAGATGGGGTTGCAGAAATTCCACAAGCCTGTTGCCACCTTCTCCTTTGCAAACCACACGATCCATATCCGGCAGGACTGGAGGCAGCTGGGAGTCGCTGCAGTGGTTTGGGATGCGGTGAGTATGCCCTGGGGACCTCTGAAAACATCCACACTTAGTATTAAGGTTGCTCCATAGATTATTTTAAAAATAATAATAACCACTTTATTGAGAGATTGTTCACATACCATACAATTCACCCATTTAAAACGAACAGTAATGGTTTTTAGTATGTCAAGTTGTGTAACCATCACCACAATGAATTTTAGAACATTTCATCATCCAAAATAAATACCCATTAGCAGTCACTCCCCTTGTCCTCCCAGCATACCAAAACCAAATTCACTGGGGTCCAGTCGATTCAACTCACAGTGACCCCTCCTTGGGTTTCTGAGGCAGTATCTCAATGGAAGTAGATTGCCCAGTCTCCTTCTGAGGAGTGGCTGGTGGGTCTGAACTGCCAGCCTTCTGGTTAGCAGTCAAATGCCTTAGGCACTATTCCACCAGAGCTTCTGCCACAGATCGCACTGTAAGTTGTGGTTATTTGCCATCTAGTCAGCCCCGGCTCATAGCGACCTTTCCTTGGATTTCCAAGGTGGTATCACTACAGAAGTAGATTGCCCAACCTTCCTTCCAAGGAGTGGCTGGTGGGTTTGAACCGCCATCTTTCTGGTTAGCAGTCAAGTGCCTTAGGCACTACATTACCAGAGCTCCCTGCACTTTATGGGTGAGTGAATGATTTAAAGTTGAGGGCTAAATGGCCTGCCAGGGTGAGAGGGGACAGTGGCAAGGAAGCAGGATACTAACTACTTTTGACCTTCATTAACAGCCTTTAAAAAAAAACAAAACACAAAGAATATTGTAAAGTAATAATTCCTCAAATGAAGATTGTGTGCTTTCTCTCCATAGTTGTAATCATGGCATGATGATACAGCTACTCCTCACTTAGGATTATGGCATTATCTGACACTTTGCATTTAAGACAACTTTGAAATAATTCTCAGATAGTGCCTCTGATGGTCTGAGGCACCCTCGGGGGGCCACCCCAAACCTTGTACCGGAGGCTCTGGTAGCAACCAGGCCACATGACCGTGACCAACTGGCCGGCTGTAGGACACCTCCCATTGTCTGGATGCTTAGGTCCAGCCGTGGAGGACAGTGGTGATGTGGGATAACAGGAGGTTGAGGGTGGGCAGGAGGAGGTGGGGTGAGGGCCCAAAGGAGCCAGGGAGATTGGCAGAGGGAAGTAAGAAGCAGGGAAGTAAGAAGATAGGGTAGGGGACTGTGCAGAGCTGTGGGGTGCGGTGGACGGAGAATGAGCAGGTCCCTGCCCAGGGCATGCAGTGGGCAACACCAGACCACCACCACCATTGCCAACCCCTGTGGGCTCCGTGGTAATGGGGAAAGCATGGTAGGAAAGGGGGGTCTGTGGCATGCCACATCTGGAACTGTCTGGGGGTGCCCATGAATGATGGGAGGGGAACATCTGTGACTCCCCCATGCTCTCACATGATGCCAATTTCAGGTAATGACTCGGTTTTTGGAACCTAACTACATGGATAAGTGAGGAGTGGGTATGATTGCATTTTTACTTCTTCCTTTCAAAGCAGTTTGTTGTTGGATTGAGGATAGTGGTGTGTGTCTCAGCATCTAGTCCCACACCTGGAATTCTTCTTGGGTGGTTGAACACTGCTTGGTTGGGAGCTCAGTTAGTGTTGAATAAATGATTGCCATCCGTACTATTTTATATTATTAACAGTGTATTAGGGAAGCTAACATTTAGGAATAAAAATGTCAATATATTAAAATCCGGTAATACCACTTCTAGAAATCCAGTCCAGGGTAATTATGTGAAAGGTATTCATGTAAGGAGTTATAAATAGTGGAATTATTAGTTATGTTTTATATCTACTGGAATATTATGTGCCCTTGAAAAATAAATTATGTAAAAAGATGTTAACACTACAGTTCTTCTATAGAATTATAAGTCATGCTTACTCACACATCAAGGAGCCAAATTTTTGGCTAAAACTTACTTTTGAAGCTCAAAATATGTGGTGAGAGCTCCTGTGGGGCAGAGACCACTGGGACGCAGGAGAACAGTTGGGAGGGACAAAGTGCTGTGACCTTCGGGTGCTAGCTCTCTCCTTTCTGCCCTGGGTGAGGATGTGGCCCTGCTGACCTGAGCTTGGTTTAGGAACCAGACATTGCCTTAAACAAATGCACAGGTTGTTCTTGCCAGTTCTTCCTTAATAGTTTAATAAGCCTCTAAGATGTAAAAGGACTGTGACACGGCATGAAATGACACTCCTAAGTCAGCAGGACTTCATCTTACAGACAGCGTTACTGAGCACTGCTGTCCCGTTAGGCACTGTGGTGGGGCTTAGGGAGGCTGTGTCGCAGTGTGCTGTATCTGTGCTCTTGGAGTTCTCCTGGAAGCAGCAGCTCAGGTCCTGTGTGTGTGGTTAAATTGGGCATTGAATCTTGCAGTGGGAGGGGTGTATGTGTGTGTGTGTGTGTGTGTGTGTGAACGTATGGGGTCTCTTCCTGCCAGTGCATAGCCTCCATAGACCCTGCAGCCCTGAAAGCACTTGTTGCCCTTAATCACAATCATGCTTGTGTTTTGACTCAGGCCGTCGTTCTTTCCATGTATCTGGAGACGGGAGCCATGGAGCTCAGGGGCCGCTCTGCTGTGGAGCTGGGTGCTGGCACGGGGCTGGTGGGCATAGTGGCTGCCCTTTTAGGTGAGTGTGAGCCATTGGTTCTGTCCTTAGCAAGGAGGAACTCATCAGGAGGTTCCTTCATAGTTTTCTTAGCACAGAACCCACTGATGGCTTTCCCTTTACTGGGTTATTTTCTTTCCCTTCTACTTATTAGGAGTTGTGGGCCAACTGCTGGTGCCCTTCACCCTAGTAAGTCTACCAGGCTAATTTCTTCTCTCTCTTTGTCACTCCGTTACACTTTTCATGGGAGGTGGCTTTGTCCCCTTCAGTTCTTTGACATCAATATTGTGATTTTAAGGTGACTTGGCTGTAACGATAATAAGCGTACCCATATATATAGTTTATTTTTTTTTTTACAGTTTAAGGTGCTTCCCATACACCATTGAATTTAACACTGTGAGGGAGGTAGGGCAGATAATCTGTTTCCTTCATAGCTGAGGAAACTCATTGCACACACACACACACACACATGCGTATATGATGCTTTCTTTAACATATATCGTAAGCATCTATCTGTACTACTACATGGTTCTCATATTTATTTTTTATAGTGGTTACATAGTTTTAGGCTGAAGAGGTTTGTTGTTGAAACCTGATGGTAAGAAAAAGTTAATCTCTTTAAAATGGAAAAAGTAAAAGTTAAAATAAGTATTGATTTTGAATGTCAGAAAGGATTATTTGCCTTTCTGAAGTAATTTCATCTTTTAAATTTTAGTTATTCATGAATTTAGGGAGCACCACCAGGTTCTAAGTAAGTGCTTCAAAACTTGAAGCACTCAAGGATGAAGTTCAGGGACTCTAGCCTTCAGTATGGATTATACCTCAACATAAACAAAACAAGAATCCCCCCAACTGGATGAATAAGCAACATCACAATAAATGGAGAGAAGATTGAAGTTGCCAGGGATTTCATTTTACTTGGATCCACAATCAACGCACATGGAAGCAGCAGTCAAGAAATCAGCTCATGTATTGTGCTGGGCAAATCTGCCACAAAAGATCTCTTTAAAGTGTTAAAGAGCAAAGATGTCACTTTGAAGACTAAGATGCACCTGACCAAAGTCATGGTATTTTCAGTCGCCACATAGAATGTGAAAGGTGGACAGTGGTTAAGGAAGACTGAAGAATAATTGATGCATTTGAATATGGTGTTGGCAGAGAAAACTGGATACTATACCATGGACTGCCAGAATAACAAACAAATCTATCTTGGAGGAAGTGCAGCCAGAATGTTCCTTGGAAGCGAGAATGGCTGGACTTCCTCTCATGTACTTTGGTCATGTTGTCTGAAGGGACTGATCTCTGGAGAAAGATAACATGCTTGGTAAAGTAGAGGGTCACTGAAAAAGGAGAAATCCATCATTAAGGTGGCTTGATACAGCTGCTGCGATGGTGGGCCCAAGCATACCAAATATTGTGAGGCTGGCACAGGACCAGGCAGTGTTCCATTCATTTGTACATAGGGTCACTATGTGTCAGAGCCAACTTGACAGCACCTAACAACAACAACAACAACAACCAGGTTGTAGGTGCTTCAGATATAGCCGTGAACAAGTCAGGCTGGTCAGTCCTTTTTAGGAAGCTTATGTTCCAGTTCTTTTGGGGTGATAAATGACAGAAAAATGCCCCCAAATTTTAAGTGCTGTGCAGAACATTTATAAAGGGTGATGCAATTTTCTTGTTCAAAGGAAAAAGAGCTGCTAATCACTGAGCAATTCCTATGTTTGAGTGCTGTGTATTTGCCATCTCTCATTCTCACAGCAGCCCAGCAGGATCATCTACTTTAGAGCTTCCCCAAGCGGTGAAAGGATGGCTGACAGAGGGGAAGTAACTTGTCCAAGGCCACACAGCTAATAGATTCCTAATAGAGTTACAGTTTGAATGAGTAGGAATCGACTCCTTGGTTAGTTTGAGTTTTCTGACTCACGAACCTTGGTTCTTAGTTTGAAAATCTCTCCAGGTGACTTTAATAGCCATCATGCTATTTGGAAGCTATTCTTAGAAGAAAAATATCGCATCCTTAAGACTAGGTTCTATAAGTTATATGGATTTCAAAAGCTTCCTAGGTGATTCTCATACCCAACCAAGCTTGGAGACCATTGTCCTAAAATGTATATGTTCGGGAAGAAAATTGTCTTTTATTTTTCTTTCTTTTTTTGCCTTTTCTTCTTTCCAGTCAATTTTTTTTTTTTTATTACCAAATGTACAACATTCTTGTGGCCACACGCAACCTCTTTTCTTTTTATTATTATTATTATTATTATTTATTATTATTATTATTATTTTTGCAGTGTTCCCTCATCTTGTGTTATTTTCTTATAATGTTAGTATGAATCTCCTCTGAACTTGGACTTGTATATCTAACTAAAATTGAGTCTCTCTTGCTAGCTACTTCCCAGCATCTCAAATAATTGATGTTTTAAACTCAAACTCTTCTTCCCTTTAACTCTTCCTGCTTTGTTCTGAGTTGGCCTCACTACCAAAGTAGTCACCCAGGCCAACTTGACTCTTCCCCTCCTAGCCTCCCCTGAGCCCTGCTGATTCCATCTGTTAACTATTTCTTGAATCCACTTCTCCCTTCCCCTGCCATTGCCACGGCTCTTATTCTTAGGGTAGCCTTATAATATCTCCATGTAAGGTAGGTATTATTTATAGTTTTGGTTTTTTTTTTTTTGGTCAAATGAAAGTGGGGTTTCAGGAGACTAAGCTGCTTTCTGATCCTGGTCACTGGAGACATGGGACTCAAACCCAGATTGTCAGATACAGCCCTGGATTGAGCCTTCATCATCTGCCTCCCGCATGATTGTACCCACCCTCCTATCTGGCCTCTCTGCCTCTGCTTTGCCTTTTCCACTCTGCTTTCCCAGTAGCAGAGCGGCCTATCCAAGAGGCAAAGCAATCAGGTCACCTGTACTTAAACTTCCTGTGCCTCCTCCTGACTGCAGGCTGAATCCCAGCTTTAACAAGCCTCTGCAATCACATCCTGCCTAACAGTTCAGCCTCACTCTTATTGTCTAGCACCATTGCTCTGCTTGAAGTTCCCTGGACACAGGTGGTAGGTCCAGGTGTGCAGTCTTGAGCATCTGCGTCAGCGTCCCACTCTAGGACAGCAAATGTCAGATTAAATAGTGTTCTGATGTTGTGTGTGAATACAAGAAACAGTGTGATGCTTATTGCAGTTAGTCTGGACTCCTGTGGGAGAATTACCTATAAAGATTACAAATGGATGAAGCATGCAAATAAGTAATTTTAGGAACACTGAAATAGAACTTTAAATTTTAGAATGAACGAGGCTAAAACTAAATAGGATTACCCTTACTATATTGTTACAATGATGTGGATGTGTTTTGGGCTGACTTTCTGAAAGCCAAATTGGGTCAAAAAATTTTATCTTTCAGTTCATAGTAAACAATCCATAAAAACAGATTAATAAATAGAACGTTGTTGGTAGCTGCTGTCACGTTGGCCTCTGACTCAGTGGTGACTTCACACACAATGGGATAGGACTGGTGTGATCCATGGGATTTTCATGGGTTGATTTTTTGGAGGTAGACTGCCAAGCGTTTCTTCTTAGTCTGTCTTAGTCTGGAAGCTTCAGTGACAGATGGGTGGTGGTTGCACATGAAATAAATTAGCCAAGAATTAAACATGGGTCTCCCGCCTAGAAGGTGAGAATTCTACCACTGCACCACTACTGACTATCCCCTGATAAATAGAATATTGTCTCATTATTTTTCTGCTCTGCATATAGAAACTCAGCACCAATAACATCATCTAGTAGTTTAGCCTACCGTACCTTCCATACAGTCTACTAATGTCTAAATTTATCATCTCTTAATAATTACATATGTATTGAATAAATACATAGAACGTTTGCTGCTTCATAATAACATAAAGAGAGGTGGGCTGGGATTTCTTAGTAGCCAGTTAATCTCTTCCTTGGTTCTCTTCAGCTTTGACTCCAGAGAGTAGCCTTTCTCGGTTTTTGGTGTCTTATCACCTTTGTAGTAGGCTACTCCCAGAGTTTCCATTCTTGGATTCCATTTTACCCTGACACTTACTGTCTTGAAGATCATGGCCTAATGAATGACACAGAGTTGGGGGGGGGGGACCTGTGGAAGGCAGGGCATCTCTGGTTTCAGAATTCAGAGGCATCAGATTGTTGGCACTTGGTGACTCTGTACTTCCTAGGTATTCAGCAAACAGCAGGTATGGCATAGAGGCACATCAAAGATTCATATTTGCCTATAGGCAGTGCAAGAAGAAACTGCAAGTCACTGTTCTTATCAATTGCAGCTTTCCACAAGGAACGTGGTATTTAGCACATGTTGTTATATGCCGTCGAGTCAGACCCAACTCATAGCAACCCCTCCTTGGGTTTCCCGGGCAGTATCACTACTGAAGTAATTGCTCAACCTTCCTTCCGAGGAGTGGCTGGTGGGTTTGAACCACCAGCCTCCTGGTTAGCAGTCAAGTGCCTTGGGCACTACGCTATCAGAACTCCCATTTAGTACATCACGAGGAATATTTAGAGACATATACTCTGCCATTCTACTGATGTACACGATTTTCTGTTTGTCTCGCATTCTAGGTGCTAATGTGACTATCACGGATCGAAAAGTAGCATTAGAGTTTCTTAAACAAAATGTTCAAGCCAACTTACCTCCCCATATCCAAGCAAAGGCTGTTGTTAAGGAGCTCACTTGGGGACAGAATTTGGGGAGTTTTTCACCTGGAGAATTTGACCTGATCCTTGGAGCTGACATCATATATTTAGAAGAAACGTTTACGGATCTTCTTCAGACACTGGGATATCTCTGTAGTGACCATTCTGTGATTCTGCTAGCTTGCCGAATTCGTTATGAACGGGATAACAACTTCTTAGCAATGCTGGAGAGACAGTTTACTGTGAATAAGGTTCACTATGATCCTGGAAAAGATGTGCATATTTACAAAGCACAGAGGACGTACCAGAGGGAAGACTTATAGTTGCCTATAATTCATAACACTGTTGTCATTGAGTGTGTCAGTTAAGGTCTTAGACTGGAAATGGAGCCATATTTAATTAAATGGCTTCCTGAACAAAAATTTGAATCAAAAGTTCACAAAGGACAAAGAAAATGTACACTTTTAAAACAGCACTTTGTCCCATTGCTGAGTTTTAAGTCATATTTAACTCACTTTGACCTTCAATGAATGTTAGAGAAAGGTGTGAGATTTTGCTTTATGTTGTTTCTGTATCCCATGATGCTCCCTCTTGATAGTTTTCATTGATGATAATAATAAAAGGGCTGGTATAAAGGTGTCTTCTAACCAGTGTTTGTTTTGGTGAGGCAAAATCATGCAAATTATTTTAAAACATATTCTGAAATATGTAATATTTAACCCATTTTTCTAATTTTCCTAATTTAAAACGAGAGGTTCAGCATGCATTCCCTGAGCGGTAATGCTGTTGAAATGTTTGCTTTATTTAGGTCTTAAATACATTTGATTGTTTGAGAGTTTTCCAGGGTCTCATGTTTCATGGCTTAATGTTAGGTTTAAGTGTATAAACAAAGGAATAAGTACAAATAAAATTTTAGTTACTCTTTGAACAGCACCTAGAATCGGGGCCTGTATGTACTGGGAGTGGTTATCTTCTTCAAATGAAAAGCAGTGGTTTTTCCCTTCAGCTTTCCCCTTTCTCAAATGTTTTTGTATATTTCTTTCTTAAGCTTCCCTGCCTCCTTATAATACATAGGATGACAATGGGGGGGGGTGTTGTAAATCTTACCCCTCCATGTGAAGGTAGCTGATACCCAATCATAAGCACCTTGTGTATCATGCTTAAAATTAGTCACTCAGTGTCTGTGTTCTCTAGTAGACTGTATGCTTCTTGACAGCAGGGAATGCTTTTAGCTCTCATTGTTGCCTCCCAAGTAGCTAGTATATCAAAACCATCCAAATATGTGTTGAATGAAAGATACATTCCATTTAGAGGACACTGATTTTGGGGTTAAATTATTGCCTCATTATCATATGATTATCTTTGATAGACTTCATTAGTTCATATGTGTATAAACCTTATTTTAAATCGATTTTAAGCCTCCTTATATATTACAGTTTAAATAAAATTTCAGAAGTTTTACTTTAATAAAGTTGAATTAATATTGTGAGTATTCTGTGATGTTCGAGTTCAGCACACTTTTGATAAATGCACATGAAATATTCATAACCTACAAAATTGTAAAATGCCAATACTATTCCAAGAACATGGAAAGTATTTTAAAAGAAATCAATTAAAAGCCCTGCAATATCACCAATACTGTACTGAAAAGCCAATCCCATCTTGGTATACTATTAGAAATTAGAATATTCATTGCAGTTCAACTCCTTTAAGACCCTAACTTTTGAGATAGGTATTAAAATGTGTGTGTGTGTATAGAGGCAGGGGGACTTCAGTGAGAGGTCTGGGTGACCTCTACCAAATGGGGAAAGCAGTAGGTGGGTTATGTTTTACATTTTCATAAAACAATAATTAAAAATCAGAAAAGGTTGAAGGAAGGTAATTTTTTTCTGTCCTACAAATAGAATAAAAGGCGAGAAAAACTGAGCAGGGTTAATTTGGTTGTGTGATGGAAATCAAGTGCCAGTCTTGGCTTAGGATTTAGTAGGTTGTCTCAGTTTAGTTTCCTGGGAAAGTACCGCAGAGGTTAGGTTGCAGAAAGTTAACATGAGAATACTTTCAAGATCAGTACCTTCAAGGGAGAGAAAGAAGCAGGACTGGAAGACAGGAGGAAGTTGGGCTGAGATGGAGGCAGGAACATCAGCCAGGTCTTCACAGCTGGTATCCTCTGCATTTGTGCCATATCAAGGCAAGGGGCCAGGCCTTTTTATCTTAGTCACTCTATATAAGAGGCGTAATCTTGGGCCAGAGATAATTCCTGGAGAGGGACTCAACTGAGAGCCATCAGCTACCAAGATTCCCGGCAGCTGGGGAGATGAGTGCTTCAGTTGTGTGGGAGAAGAATGGGAAGGTTTGGGCAGCACACACAGTGTCTACTACAAATGCCAACAAAATTAGGACATTTTTCATTTATGCTGAAAATACGAATTTATCTGATAAATGTACACTTTAAGTGTACATGTTTTGTCAAGTTAAAGATAGAAATGTAGTCCAAACCTAATTTACTAAAGCCTCAATTCTAGTATTCCTCAATTTCTTAAGTTGCAAAGATGTGTTAACATCAGGTTCTTAGAATTACCACTAATTTTGTAAGTACATTATCTCTTGAGGGCATCTTGCTTTAGTTCCTGACAGAACTATCTGAAGCCCTGTACCATCTTTAAATAGTTTCTAGTGAAACGTTTATTATTACATATAAAAGGATTAGAATAATTGGTCAAAATACTTCCTGTTAGTTACACCACCAGTTGATGCCCACTCAGTTCTGACCCTTGGTGACCCCATGTGTTTCACACTAGAACTGTGCTCCATAGGGTTTTCATGGCCGTGACCTTGCCTTTCTTTGGAGGCACCTCAAGGTGAGTTCAAATCACCAACCTGTTAGTAGCCAAACAGCTGAACACAAGGCTCCTTCAGGGCAGAGCCTGTGTCTCTTGCACCCTGTCTCCCTCTCCTGAGACATGCAGTCCCAGGCAGTGCAGTTACGTGCTAGGCCACTAATAGATCAGTGGCTCAGACCCACCCAGAGGGGCCTCCGAGGGAGGTTTGGCAACTGGTTTTGGTTTGGTTCTGCTGACAGAGGGCTTTGTACATTAAAGGTATGCAAGTGTGTGGAATGAAGTAAACTTGCATGTATGAACATTCAACTTTTTATATAGGATTGAGTCCCTTTTACTTACTAAATTGCCCTTAAAAATCTATATAACGATGCCTTCTGCCTCCCCTCCTGCTCATTTCCCAATGGTCTGGAATAAGCCTTCCAGCCAGCAGTTCTATAGCTCAAACAGGAAAGCTGGGAAATACATAGTAATGACTGCCCGTCTTCTGTGTGGCTGTGTGTATTAGTATTTCAAACCTTTATTCCAAAACAAATAGAAAATATTAAGACTAAACTGTTCAAGTACAACATACTCCTTGTACAAACTACTCGCAGTTACTTAGTAGAACTATTCATTTTTCAAATTAAAGATAACAAAACATTCTGAAAAATACATATGTAAAATCTGGCAAGACTTCTCCAGACTAGAAAGAGCTAGATTAACATAAAAATGAGAGGATGGAAATGTAAAGATTTTAAATGATGTGCCTGCCGGTTTTACTGTCTTATAAATTGTATGTAGTTAAAAATATATAAGGAGCCCTGGTGGTGGAAATGGTTAAGTACTGGGCTGTTAACTGAAAAGTCAGCAGTTCAAATCCACCAGCTACCCCGTGGGAGAAAATAACTGGCGATCTGCTCCTGTACAGATTACAGCCTTGGGAACCCAGTGATGCAGCCTACTTTGTCCTGTACAGGCGGTATGAGCTGGAATCAATTCAGTGACACACAACACAACAAAAATACATCAGTGATGCGCCTCTGAGGAATTAAATGCCTTGCTGATAATGTGATCCAGCTTCAATGAAAAGGGGTTAAGAAGAAGTGACAAAGTTCATCAGTCAAAGTGTCTCATGTCTGATAAGTACCAAAAGTAGTAAATTAATCAGGTTTAAGAGACAGAGGCAAATAACATTGGTTACAAAATAAGTCTTGGCTGCATTAGTACTGTACTTGCTTAGGCAAGAGATTTCATTTCTGTGAACAGGCCAAAGTTCTGTGGATTGGTGAAACTGGATGGGCTTGTAGTATGACTCAGCTGTTAAAATCAGCAAAAAGGGAGAGTAATTCCAAGTGTTAAAGGCCTAGAATTTTAGTGAATGATTTTGTACTTTTGAAGACTATGACCTGCTAGTTCTGTCCTTAGAAATAATTACATATAATGCCATATTTAGACCCACAAAGCGTTTTTCAAAAGTTATTTTTTTAATGCTCAAATTCTTTAAAACTAGGTTACATGACAGCAGTAATGTAGAGGGAGTGGAATTTAGTAGTAAAGTAATAACACTCTCTATAGTGTTTTACCAAATTCTGTTTATGTTCCTGGAAGACAAGGATTATAGTTTATACTTCATATTTCAAATCTTAACATGGTGCCCTGTTCATAAAGGGAGCTTAATATTTACATGAATAATACAGATTCCTCTACAGATCAGCTCCCTTATTAAGTCACTTCATTTCTGTGCTTTAGTTGTTGACCTGAGTTGTTGTTAGCTCCCATAAACGGGTAAATAAAATTGCAGAGACATTAAAACATCAGTGTGTACTCAATCACTAGCTGAGTTACCATGAACTTCTGTAAAAGATTCACTTCCAACAATCAATTTCATTAAATCTCTGTAGTTTATGGTAGTTGAAGGATAGCATTCTCTGTCAATTCTGAAATTCTTAAACAAAATTTTTAAAAACGTCTTTACAAAAATCACTGTGTAATGTATCCAGTATTGGTAAGTGCCCTAGATTTAGGGCATGACTTAATGGTGAAATAGACACCATTTATCTTGTATCAGAGAAAGTCACAGTCCTACTCATCGCCAGGACATCTACCTAGGGAGAAGCAGCATTTCCATGTTCCTTAACAGCAATGAGGCACCTTGTTGCAGTGAATATCGAGGGCCCTGATCTGGGGAACTAAGACTTGGGTTCAACCTCAGCACTGACATGAACTGCCTGAAACCTGGGCAGTCCTTATGGTTGTTGGGTGCCATGGGGTGGATTCAGACTCCCAGTGAGTGACCTCAGGGGACACAGTAGAGCTGCCCCATAGGTCTCCTAGAGGGTGATCTCTGCAGGAGGACGTCACCAGGTCTTTCTCCCGAGGAGCTGCTGGGTGGGTTTGAACCGTATCCTCTCAGCCAGCAGCTCAGCACCTAACTGTTAACGCCACAAGGGAGCCTTTAACTTACTTCTTTAAAAACTTCCAAATTTGAGGATCTGATGGTTAGT